ACGAGGAAGTTTCACACACACCAGGTGAGCTACAAAACATCCTGCAACTGCAGCAAGTTTACTGCCAAGCAGGATGTGGGGGTTTTGGGTGCTTTGTTCAAGTGCAAGCACTTTGTTCAAGCACAGGTACAAAGTGACATTGAGGCACAAGATGGAGTCGGGGTGGCTATCACATTCCCAACTCTTCTAAGCATGATGTCAAAGCGTTGACTCAATGAGAGCCTCTTGATTGGGCACAGGGTTATACAAGGGATTGTAGTAGGATCTCATATACATCAGTTTAACAGAGGCTATGCTCTGTTTTACAAAGTTGATTATCCAATTAAGAGTACAAGGGCCAATCAAGAGCCCAAGAAAAAGCAGGATGAGGGAACCAGCCAATCCAGTGATAAGGGTAGTTACCCAAGGGCTCCAATTGAACAAGTCATGATACCATGAGTTTTTACTTTCCTTTTCCTTCTGGGATCTATCTACATTTTCCTTGACTTTTTGAAGGGTATCATGGATTACACCAGACTTGTTGGCATAGAAACAACATGCCTCCCCCAGAGCAGCACATGATCCTCCTGTGACAAGAGCACTAGATCAAGCCCCCTTGGATTCTGGAGGACCATCTCAGCCAGTGACTGTACTTGGGAGTGCAGAGTCTCAAAGGCATAGTGCAGGCTTCCTAGGTCAGTGTCTACCTGTTCTGCCAAACCTGAGAGTCCAAGTTCTCCTCTAGCCAATGTGGCAGTTCCAAGTGCCGCTGAGCCAGCTACCTCCGATCTCAAGAAAATTGGAATGACTACAGGGGCTGCTCACTTCTCTCTGTACGGTAGTCCTGGTGGTGCTATGAAATCCCATCCCTGTGGTCCTCTGTACACATAAACTTGAGGAAGAATTTGCACCAGGATGCACAAGACTTCAGGTCTAGTATCTCCTACAGGAATTGTGACACACCTAGCGAGTCCTGAGGTACAAGCTAGCCAAGTGCTGTTAGGGGCAAAATAAGCCTTCAAGGTCTCCAGAGTCACGGTTTGGCTACACACAGCATGGAAAGGTGAGTTACTCATATCATAAGAAGTTGCCGGACAGGTTGCATTTCCATAAACTTCACCAATTATCAAGGGGGGCTTTGCAGAAGTGCATGGTAAGGCAGTACTCGAGGCTTTGATTAAGCCCAAGACTCCCACACCCACATAATAAGGAGGCTTTGCTTTGAGACAGAGCCAACAGTCTTGATCCAGGTCTGGTTGAGTCAGGTTTAACATAGTATGGATGGCTCCCAGCATGGAGAATAGGGAGGGAGGGAGTACACACTGGGGGGGGGGCTGCTCTATTGGTAGCTAAGAGCGGATGCTTTGAAGGAGGAACAACAGGGTGAGGCTCAAGTAAGGGGTCCTTTACCTTCATTAAGGGTCCAATTGGCTGTCTCAGTGCTTGGCCTAGCAACCAAATTTGAAAGGTAATGATTTCCCCTGAGTCAGAAATTAGTCCTCCAGGGAGCCAGAAGTGGAAGACCCAATTCCATCCTGTGGCCCATTTAGAGTCCCGGGGCCTTTGTATCAAAATTGTGCCACCCACATTTCCAAACTATGATATCACTAGTGACTTTTGGTCCCCCACTATAACAGGCAATCTTTACACAGCCCCAGTTAGGGCAGTAGAAGTCAGTCAGGGACCCACAACCCTTCTGTCCCAATGGACTGAACCCTGGACACACATAAAAGTCACAGCTTCCCAGGTTTATGAACTGATAGTAGTAGCTTCCCCAATCTCTCCTGACTAATTTACAGAGATTGAATTCAGGCAACCTGAGAGGTTGCTGGGGGCAGATGGTACCAAAAGTGACATTGCCTAGAATTTCTCCTGAGCTAAAGGAGGTGAGGAGAAAGGAGTGCAACTCTCCTCAT